ATCAGGAAAAAAACTACAGAAGCAGTTGCTGAAAGGCGGGTAGTAAACGACGGAACAAACGCTCGGTAAAAAACCACAGGACGTTACGCAACGCAGAACGAAGCTACGTGCCGCACTTCAACTATTATGTACTGATCGACCTGGAAACGGCGAACGTCCAGTGTACTGGTGAGATGCAAAGACAAAATGCCTCAGAAACATTTGGCAGATACGTAAGAGCCATGCTTAGTTAATTCGGTGCAAAGACGCCAACACAGAGGCCTGATTTGCAATTCGTGTTATTTGTCCTCCGGTTTTGGACCGCATCAAACAGCGAGTAACTTCAAGTAAACGGTTCGGATGACCTCGAGGCCAACAAACGAATCGCCATGCCGCGTGCCAAGGCACGGTTAACTGTTCGAGAAAACACTATGGCAGGTTTAAACTTGAGAAAAGCAGAACTGCCTACTCCAGTAATTTTTTAGCGGTATAGCTACGTTTGCCTACAGCTCGTAGTTATGAGGACACGTGAAAGAACAAAAGAGCGACGTTTAGGTAAAACCTGAAACCACAAATCCTTCTACAACCCATTCCGATCGAAGAATGTTGTCTTTCGCGATATCAAAGGTTCACAAATGCTGTTAACGAAAGCAAGAGAACAGCGACGTGGTTAGTACATTCAAATCGGACATCTATGTGACTGGCAGACAAACGTCTGCCTAGCCATTGTTCCCAGGATAGTATTTCAGCTTGGAAATCCGCAAAGGCGAAGGGATAAATGTTCCATTCATCCAGTCTACTTGGACTAAAGCAGATCGCAAAAGAACAATAGCACCCATCGGTCGTAGCCCAGAGTTCTAAATGCTGTTTGACCTAGCAGTTGAGAGTGCACATTTTTTCAACTAAATTACGTTCAGCAAATAACCCTCTATATCCGGTTTCAGCAAAATATCGAATTCGCCATTTAACCTCGCTGAGAGTGCAGAGCAAGCATGCACCGGACACACACAAACCAGGAAAAATCGAACAAACAGTGTTCACGTGCATGCAGTCAAAGAAACGGGAGTATTGATCGATTTTTT